ATGTTTTCGTCATCACCTAGGAAACAATCGGGAATACCATCAAGAAGTCGATTCAATGCAAGACATTTTGACGAATTTGCACATCGAAATGGTTTTGATTTTGGACATTGAACATAATTATTTATAGTAGTCGAACATTTGAGGAAAAACTTCAATATAATATATTCTAAAGATTCCCGTGATTCAAACTCTTTACCTAAGTTCAATTCAAATAAAGTTCGACACGTTGAATTTTTTATTAAAATAGTAGGCGGAAGCCATTCGCAGAGTTGGTGATCGTAACATACATAATGAGGCAAAAGAAGATCCAACCGATAATTATTTGTGGAGTTCTTGACATAGGCAAAGCGTACATGATTCAGCACCATCGGCTGAGCAGGAAAAAAGAAAAATGGCGGACAACTTTGTCGAAAGATACTTTCAATAACATTTTTTTCTGCACATGTCATTTCATCAATGAGTCCAAAACGATTGACAGACGAAACGCTCAAACAAATCAAACTTGTCCAACAATCAGAAGATAAATGAGAATTTGCATCTCTAGATAATTTTGCTTGTAATAATAGAAGGTTACGACCGTTAGAGCATCTTGTCATACTGCAAGCACCAGTACCACATGCAAGCAATCGTTCATTTTGACATCCTGTCTCTTCACAATCGTATACTTGAATCGAGTCGCAACTTCCTGACAGGTCACCATTCGCAAAAAGTTGCGCATATAGTTCATCTGAACGGTCCATGCAATCCAGATACCGTGCATTATCATTCCAAAATTGTTTTGGAATGCAAAATCCATTGCTATAGCGAAATTCATCATCCTTGCATTCGTGTGTAATTAACTCTTCACAACCTAATTCATCGTTACCTCCATCCAAACAATCGATTTTTCCATCGCATATTTCTCTCCAGTCGAGACAAGATGGTGCTGGACCTCGATCACATTTTAAGAATGTATAACATGATCCATTCTGAAATGGGTAACGACGTGATTGAGCCAAGTCTAAAGCGATTACAATATTTTCAAATGTTAATGTCGAATTGAATGTATATTGACAAAATTCACCAAACCATGGTATAGAGCAATTATAAAATATTTGTGTCGATGAAAGCGAATATGTATTTTCGAGAAAAGCTTGATATCTTTCGACAACATCGATAGGTACAAATGATAAATATAACTGTT